TGCAGGAAAGACAAAGCAGATAATCAAATCATCAAAATTCTTATAAATTACCACCACCAACACTGCAGCTATCATCATCATAGTTGATAAAATATGGAAGTGTAATAATGAAACACCTAAATATTGGAAAATAATCAGAGATGATTTATTTATTTCATATTGGTATATATTTCGGACCGAGTCAAACCAAAGATTCGAGTGAAACGAATCAAAAATTAGATGTTTCGAATTTCATTGATTCGCTCGGAGCCTTAGTTTTCAACACTTGGTATCAGATATTAAACCCATTTTAGGAATTTATTTTAAGAAACTACCAGGCACACAGGAATTTCAACATTTTCTTTTGAAGCGTCCGATCCTAATGTTGTCAAAACTCGAGAGGTTGCCAACGGGCTTTGACCGAATTCAATCTATTGAAAACTAGGAAAGCAGACATCTCTGAAGTTAAAGCTTTATTTATTTAACGTCCCTCCTTTGGAGTACAAGAGGCAAGGATACATATACGAGTTATTGCATGCGGAACATGCCATAATGGAAATTTTAGCATGTCATTTCATAGGCAGACATACAATACAAAATTTTATGAACGTATCAGAACTTTTCTCTTGTTAATTATCATTAATAGTTATACTCCAAAATTCAGATTCAACTTGCCACAGATTTTCTTTCGACTGTACCATCAGGAGAGGATACATATCTTTGACTAGGAGACAACTATTCATATTTTTTTTTACGTTGGAGCAATTTCTTTGGCTGTTAATTTGGATGTACCAGTTGTAACTTTGGTGAATGATCATTCTGACCTTGAATCTCAAAATTCTATGATACAGATAAAAATGAAGCTTAAGTCTTAAGCTTTGATTCTATTATTCTGCTTTTTCTTTAACTCTCTCAGCTCAACTTTCAAAGATTATTAGATTAATATTTTCCTTCCATTCCAACTATATTGATCAATTAAGGATGAACTTCTACTTGGAATGTTCAAATTTAAATGATTCACCATCAATACTAATAATAGTTAAAAAGGGTATCACAAGTAATAAAATCATTCATGCAAAAAACCATAATATTTATAACGAATCATTTAGCACTTGTGTATTTTGTCACAGCTTTGGTTCCTTCAGACACTGCATGTTTTGCCAATTCACCCGGAAGAATAAGTCTTACAGCCGTTTGAATCTCACGAGACGAAATGGTTGATCTTTTGTTGTAAGCTGCGAGTTTTGACGCTTCACCAGCTATTCGTTCAAAGATATCATTTACAAAAGAATTCATGATTGACATGGCCTTATTTGAAATACCAGTATCTGGATGCACTTGTTTTAAAACTTTATAAATATAGCTAGAATATGTTTCTTTTCTAGCTTTTCGTTTTTTAACTTTATTCTCAGTACTAGTTGCCGTTGCTGCTGCCTTCTTTTTTTCGCCTGATGCTGCTGCTGCTGATGCGGCTGGTCCTTTTGAAGCTGGTGCTTTGCCACCACTAGTTGCTGGTTTTTTTTCTGCTGCTTTTGGAGGCATTTTTTGATATTAAATTTTTTTTATTTATACTTGAAATTTTACTTGAAATTTTACTTGAAAGAAATAATTTAAAATATTTGAAATTATTATTATTATTATTATTATAAAGTCTTGATATATAATAAAAATAAAAAAAATGAAATGAATACCTTTTATCTTTTATTTTTATTTTTTGGAAAAAGTTTGGGAAAAATTAATCACACAAATCATAACCCTTTTTTATTTTTTATATATATATATACATAAATTATAAATTACACAAAAATAAAATA